GGGTCATCACTTAACGTTCAAATTATTAAAATGTTCTATGTCACAAAAAGAATTAAATTTCCTTGTCAATTGCATTTCAGTCTTTTGTCATTTACATAATGAGTTTCATCTTCAAGAAGATTCATGGAAAAGACTTTAAGCACAAATAGAGGTTTTTGGTATCTTTAAAATCTTAAACTAAAATGGGTAAGAATTTCCAGAACTAACTAAAAGCTGCATTTAAACTAAACAAGAATTAGTAACGTGGGACTAAATAAACTAAGAACATGATTATAGTTTTGGGACTCTTGTTTAAGCATTGCTGGTTCTCTAAAAATTGGTCTTCCAGATTAAGAAAACTTTCTCTTAAGATAACAATAACTGGGGTGCCTGGGTGGCTCAGTTGGTTAAGTGACTGCCTTCGGCTCAGGTCATGATCCTGGAGTCCCAGGATGGAGTCCAGAATTGGGCTCCCTGCTCAGCAGGGAGTCAGCTTCTCCCTTTGACCCTCCCCCATCTCATTTGAGTTGATTTTTTGTGTATGTGTAAAGTAAGTGTGTAGTTTCATTCTTTCTTTTGCATGTGGATATCCACATTTCCCCACATCATTGTTGAAGAGATGATCCTTTCCCACTGTGTATTCATGACACCCTTGTCAAAGATCCATTTACCATATGTACATGGATTGAGTTCAGGACTCTCTGCTCCATTCCTTTGTTGTGTCTCTCTGTCAATACTGTTACCAGACAAGGTAACAAAGAGTCTGTATCAAGAAAAACATTGAGGGGTTAGGGAGACTGTTACAGAATGAAGTGTTTTGCTTACGGAGTTTTCAAAATTGAGCACACCCATGTATCTAGCAGCTAAATCAGGACACAGAACATGGCTAGCACCCTAGAAGTTTCTGCCGCCTTCCATTTATAATTTTCTTTATAGAAAAGATTTATTTAATTATTTGAGATGGGGGAGGGGTTGGGGGAGGGGAGAGAAATCCTCAAGCTGACTCCCCACTGAGCTTGGGCCCCCGACACAGGGATAAATCCCAGGACCTTGAGATCATGACCTGAGCTGAGGTCAAGAGCCGGCTACTTAACGTTGAGCCTCCCGGGGGCCCCCATTTATAAACTTGTAATGTTCAATCAGCATTGCTTTCCTGGAACAAACCTAACTTAGTCATGGTTATTGTCTTATTCTATATACTGTTTTGGATTTGGTTTGGGAATACTTGATTAGCATTTTTGCCTCTCTGTTCATGAGTATGATTCGCCTGATATTTTCCTCTTTTTGTACTTTTGTTGTTATTCCTATTTCAAATTAAGATTATACTAACCTCAGGGGCGCCTGGGTGGCTCAGTTGGTTAAGCGACTGCCTTCGGCTCGGGTCATGATCCCGGAGTCCCGGGGTCGAGTCCCACGTCAGGCTCCCTGCTCAGCAGGGAGTCTGCTTCTCCCTCTGACCCTCCTCCCTCTCATGCTCTCTGTCTCTCATTCTCTCTCTCGCAAATAAATAAAATCTTAAAAAAAAAAAAAAAGATTATACTAACCTCAGAATGAGTTGGGGCGATATTCCTCTCTGTTCTATGGATGAATTTGTATGATTTTGAGATGATCTGTCTTGAAAGTTCTGTGGAACTCACTGATAAAACTTCTGTGCTGGATACTTTATCTCTCTTTCCTTAAATATTTTCACATGGAAAATTGCAAAGATATACAAAGAGAATTTGTATACAAACATATACAAGTGCACTCTATTTCAGTATACTAGAAAGAATGGTATCATAACCCCCATGTACCCATCTCCAGCTCAAAGTATCAACTCACGGCGAACCTTGTTGTATCTATCTCCCTTCTACTCCTTCACCACCCACTGGATTAAAAATTACAAATCATATAATATTCTTTGCAAACACTTTTGTGTGTACTTCTAAAACATAGGGTGCCACCCCTCCAATTAAAAAAATATCAAACTTAGAGAAAAGTTGCAAGACTGTGAGAGGGAACTCCCATATATCTTTCATGCTTATTTACCAATGGCACATTTGTATTCTATCTGTACAGAGGTAAATATATGCATGTGCATGCACACAAATCTTTTCATTATATATATATATATATGAGTTTTTGATGTATCACTTGGACGTTATACATATCATACTACTTCACCCTAACTACTTCAGCCCGTATCTCACCAGAACCGAGATTTTCTCCTATATACCTGCAGTACGATCAAGCTCCCCCAGTTTGATATTAATACAACAATATAATCTAATATGCAGTCTATATTAGATTCCTATTACTGCTGTACAAATTACCACAAAGACGGTGGCTTAAAAGCAACAGACATTTATTACCTTACATTTCTGGAGGTCAGAAGTCCAACATGGGTTTTGCTGGGCTAAAATAAAGATATTGGCAGGGCCACATTCCTTTCTGGAGGTTCTAGGGGTGGATCAATTTTCTTGCCTTCTCCAGTTTCTGGAGTCTGCCAATACTCCTTGACTTGTGGTCTCTTGATGCCCAGCGGGGAGTCTGCTTGAGGATTCTCTCCCTCCCTCTCCCTCTGCCCCTCTTCCCAATTGCAAGCACGTGCTCTCTCTTAAATAAATAAATAAATCTTTTAAAAAAGGAAGAATCTAACATTGACGCCACTGGATACCAGAAGTAGGAAAAAAGTATGGACTGGAAAAAGTACCTGAAGAAATAATGGTCCAAGAAGCTGAGTGAACCCCGAGCACAATAAGCAGTCACACTAAGACACATTGCAAACTTCTGGAAACTAAAGACAAGAGGGAAAAAAAATCTTTAAGAACAGCCAGAGAAACAACCCATTGCATATTAAGGAACACTGATTTAAGTGACAGTAGGTTTTGTATCTGACAGCATGGAGGCCAGAAGGAAGTGGCAGGTTTTTCAAGTCGACTACAAATCCTTTATCTAGCAAAATGATCCTCAGGAGGAAAGGGGAACTAAGGAAATTTTCTGATGAAGGAAAAATATGAGACTTTGTTGCCAGCTGACCTACTAATTAAAGAATGGCCAAGGAGAAGAGTCTAATTCATTCTTCTCTGTGGTTTATGTTTGGTGTCATATCTAAAAGCTAACCAAATTTACTTTGTTTTGAAGTAAATTCATCCCCAAAGTGGGGCTTGAACTCATGACCCCGAGATCAAGAGTCACAGGCTCCACTGACTGACCCAGCCAGGAGCTCCTAACCACACTTAAAATAATGGAAATCAGAGTCTGTTCTCTGAAAATAATAATCAAACTAGAAATCAATCATAGAAAGACAACAGAAATCTCCAAAACATTTGGAAAGCAAGCTACATATTTGTAAATAAGCTATGGGTCAAGAAGGATATCTCAAGGGAAATATAAAAATACAGAGATTTTCAAAAGATTTTTTAGTTATTTATTTGAGAGAGATAACAGGGGAGAGAGAGAGCCCGAGTGAGCACCAGCAGGTGAGCAGCTGAGGGAGAGGGAGAAGAAACAGGCTCCCCCTGAGCAGGGAGCCCAACACAGTGTTCCATGCCAGGACCCTGGGATCATGACTTGAGCTGAAGGCAGATGCTTAACTGACTGAGCCAACCAGCTGCCCCCAAAAATACACAGAATTAAATTAAACACTAAAAAAAAAAAAAAAATCTCCACCACTTTGGGATGCAGCTTATGCTGTGCTGAGAGTGGAATTTGTAACATGAAATGCTTACATTATAAAAGAGGAAGTATCTCAAATCAAAATCTAAGCTCCTAACACAAGAACTAGAAAAATAAGAGCAATGTGACCCCAACTAAAAGCAAAAAGAAAGAAATAGTAAAGATAAAGCATGCAGGTGACTCTCATGTTGGCCACTGTGAGTGGACAGAATGGACCTGAGCCCCATGGAAGGGCAGGGCTGGGTCTGTAGCATCAGAGTTGGTTCTGTGGGTGGGATGTGGATGGGAAATAGGAAGATGGGGGTGACTTTGATGGCCCTAGTGTTTTCTCTTCCTCTGAGGGGTCACAGGCAGATGCAGGAACCCTCCGATGTTGGATTCTTCGCTGGGAGATCTTCGGGCCCCATTTGTCCCTTGGGTGGAATGTCTGCTCTGCTGGGAAGGGCAGGTAGATGGCAAAGGACTCTGACACCAGGCACAGGGCTCAGCAGGGGGCAGCTGGGAGAATAGCCCAGGGTTCTGCTCTGCCCTGCTGCCTGGGGGACTCAGCTGGGGCTTGGGAAACAGGATGCTGTGTTCAGGGGTGCTCCAGGCTGGGTGATGGGTGTGTTTCCAAGGTCAGGCACCAAGGGTCCGAAGTTAATTATGAAACATTCCTTGCTTATTGTCAAGAAGAGGGGGGCCAGGAGGTTCCCCAAGAGGCTGGAGCAGACTCCCACAGCCTCCCTGAGGCCACCCTCTGGGGGCAGCCATCAGCCATGCAGGGAGCAGTAATGGATGTACCAACATAACATCCAGACATGTGCAAAGGGTTTTCCATGGATAGATTAGAGCAGAATCGGGTTGTCCTTGTAGTAGCATTCTGCTTCATTGCATCTATCTTCTGTAGAATAGAAATGGGAAGCCTCTCCAGCAGTCCGTCATTGCCTCCTCCCCTCTCAACTCCTGGGAGGAGCTTGGCTGGAACACTGTCCGTGGTGCTGATGACTCCCAGCTATTCCTCTGGCTTGGGAGCCTTGATCTGGTTCTGTCCACACACTTTCCATTCTTAACAAGGAGTATTATGAACAAGGAAGAGGTGGAGAGGGCTGCAGGGAGTGTGCACTGGCCTCTGTCTCCATCCCTCAGAGCAGGGAGGGTGCTGTGGACATCACTGCAGGAAGTGACTCCACAGTCAGATGACCAAGTCCAGGCTGCCCACCAGCACTTTGTAGTGAAGGATGGTGAAGTAACCGTCCCTGGGTCCATGTCCCTGAATATCCTCAGGGCCTGGACCTGGTTCTCTGGCTCAGGCTGTGGCTCCTGGCCCCACCTAGAGTCTGGGATCTCAGGAAGGCCCTGGAAGGAGCAGTTCCCAGGGGAAACTAAGAAGCCATTGCTGCTTTGTGGTTGATCTGGCAGTAAATGTTTGTGTCGGGGTGTCGTAATTCCTGCAAAAGAAGAAGAGGCCTCTGAGACCCTGTCACCTTCTTAGAACATATCTGGTGACTTTCAGGTTCTAGGCCCACATAGGCTGCTTTCTGGGAGCCTGGCTGTGTGGCAGGTGTCTGCCCAGGGCCCCTCCTTCCTCCCACTGCCCCTGTTCCCCCTTGCTCTCCTGTTTCCTGAACCTGAAAACACAGCCAGGAGCAGGCTGAGGGCAGATAGATCTGCAGCCCCTATGGGCTTCGGGGACCAAAACAGTCATTGCCCACACTCACCTGGTAGATGGGAACGGCTGTGGTGGGGCTGGGCAGGGAGTCCTAAACAGGAGAGAATGGGTGTTGGTAGACAGAGAAGGAGGGTCATTTCTCTACAGAAGTGACCAGTTCTGCCTCTGGAGCAGCCTTCTCCAAGCCTGTTGACCCATACCCCAGTCCCCGACCACTGCCCAGGACCCTTGGCTGGTGCTCCCAGTGCCCACCCTGCCCCTGGCTGGACTCCAGGGTTCTCCTTTGGCCAGCTCAGGGGAGCAGGGACAACTCAGGACATGCTGGGGGGTGGTCCTGCCCCTGAAGAGGGTCCACTCCTGGCCAGAACAGGGCTTGCCTTGTCCTGGCTACTCTGGGGGAAGCAAGGTCTGCTCTGTGCTGCTGAATTGGCTGGTTGCTCTGCCTTGAGCCTGCACATGCTGGACCCCAGGGGAAAGAGTGGTGGAGGGGGCGGGCTTACCGGGGATGTGGAGCTGCAGGCTGGACCATGACCTGGGGACAGAGACAGGAGTTAGCACCAGGGCTGTGAAGAAGCTTGGGGCCACCCTCCAGGAGGGGACAGGTCCTCAGCTCTCAGAGAACAGGGAAGCAGGAGCACCTCCCAGGGACAGACCCACTGGCCATGTTAGGGCCCGTGAGGTCAAGGTGCTGACCTATGACCTAGATTCCACAGGTCAGGGTGTATGGCCATTTGAGGTCCCCTGAGCTGAAGCCACAGAGAAAAGGTCAGAGGCCCTGGGGAGTGACTGGCAGGAGTGGACAATGTGGGCAGGACTATGGGGCTCCAGGTCCCACCCACGCTGAAGATATACTCACGGGGGGTTGATGCTGGGCAACAGAGCTCTCTGAGATCACACCAGCCACTGGCCCTAGGAAAGATCAGGCTTACGTGTGAGGGGTGCAGGGAGAGGTCATAGCTTTGGTGTCAGAGCAGGGGAAAAGCAGGATCCTCATTCCAGGCAGGGGTTAGAGACCTCCTCTCTCCACCAGTGCTGTTTAGGAGAGGGAGGGCCCAAGAGATGGGATAAGGAAAGCTTTTGGAGCATGTCCTCGGCCCAGAGGGGAAGGCACTCAGGCTGATGGGCATCTAGGAGAAAGTATGCAGAAAAGGAATGGAGGACTCAGGAAAGGAATCAAACATGAGAGTTCGACTGAGTGGAAGGGTCAAGGCTGCAGCTGCATGTGCAGGGCTCTTGGGGAGCGCCAGGTATGTGGATCCCTGAATGTGGTGTCCCTGCTGTGGCCAGACCCTTGCCCCCTCAGGCCAGGAGATGCTGAAATGTGATAGTGGACCATCTTTTACCTCCATCTGCCTGGACAAGAGGCATAAAGGACATCCCAGGACCTCCCCCTGGCCGAGCCCAGGTTCTCTGGTCTCACACATCAGGTACTGTGGTTCCTGCATCTGCCATTGGGGGGATGACCCCACCTGACCTGTCAGGCTCTTCCAGTCTCCATTGTGTGACCTTGACCAGGACCACCCTCACATCCTGAGACTGCAACTCTCCCTCACAGGGTGAGTGGACTTAAATAAACCCCAGGAGGTGCCGTTTACTGAGCACTTAGTCTTGTCAGCACCACTGTAGGTTTGCCACATTAACCAGGAAAACCCTGAGGGGCTGTTCCTAGTTGCCCCTAATTTATAACTGAGGGAGCTGTGAAGGAAGCACCCTGATCAGCAGCTGGTGAGGAAGGAGCCAGATGGAATGAGAGGGAAAATCCAGGGGGCTATTGGGCAGCCCGGAGGAGCCAGTCCAGAACCCTAGGTCAGGATGAGGTCCCCTCCTGGCCTGGGTCAGCTTGGGACAGGATCTGCGTGTGGGAAATGCCATCGTACCTTCCAGTCCTTGTGCGGAACAGGAGACAACCCAGGGCGGCTGCCAGTGCCAGTCCAACCAGGACCCCGACTGCAATGCCAACGATGGACCCCACAGGGAGGCCTGTGTTGCTTCTTTCATCTGAAATAAGAAGAAAAAGGGACGGATATGAGTCTCAAGTCAAATATGGGGAAACCAAGAGGGGCCGTGGGGGAAGGGCCTGGTTAGTGTGGAAGGAAATGCATTGACGTAGGGTTTGTGTGTGTTTTGTCACCACAGTGTCCCCACCCCCTCGACCGCTGCATCATTTCTGTTCCTCACAGTGAAACTCTGGACTTGCTTTAATCCTCCTGTTCTGCCCCAACCCCAGGGGCAGTGCCAGCATCTGTTCATTTTCCTCTCACACTATGCCTCTTCCCTTCTGTGTTCCTTTCCATCACTATGCATGGTCTTAGGCGGAGGCCCCTACCTCACTCAATACTGATTAAAAGAGAATAACATTAGCTGTCTGCCTTTGGGCTTGGCTCTGGGACAGGCATGTGGAAATACTTTACGTTTATTTCATCTGCTGCTTCCCTGCCCATGTGGGGGCTGGGGGTCACCCCCACTGTGCAAAATAAGCACCTCAGTGTGTTAAGGGGTTCAATAAATCAATGAAGGTCACAGAGCTGGAACGTGATAAGGCCACAGTTAATCCCAATTCCACATGCCATTACAGCTAGTAACAAAAATGTTAGTAACAGAAGAACAATAGCTGCTAAGTTTGATTGAGCCCCAAACCTGTGTATGATGCTGTCTCTGGATTCCATCTCATGAAAACATTAACAACCCTCACAACAGCCCTAAGATCCAGGTACTCTTTGCAGTTTACAGTTGAGGAGACTGAGATTCACGAGGTTGAGCATCTTGCCCGAGATCCAAAAGCTGGTACATATCAGAAACAAGATGCTAACAAGATTCGTCTAATTCCTGGGAATTTTATCCAAATTTCCTTAGAGGTTCTGAAGCTTGCTTCCACCTCCTCCAGGCCTGCATCCATTTTACACCCCTGCCAGTAAAATGTACAGGGAGGAAGGGGGAGAGGTTGAGGGTCACTCACAGCTCACATCCAGCCTGATGGGGTCACTTTTGCTGGAATTGCTTTGGTTGCCAACTTCACACTGGTAATTCCCGGCATCCTCTCTCCTGACAGGGTCTATGGTGAGGGTGCTATTGTCTTGGGACAGCTTCATCCTCTCTGTGAGCTTTAGACTCTGGCCATTGAAGAACCAGTGGATGGAGATCCCAGCGTTTTTTGTGGAGCAGGTCAGGACCACGGAGTCCCTATCTTCTGTGACTGCGGTGTTGCTGGCATGGAGAGAGGGCCAGGCCACTGGCTCTGTGAAGAAACACAGGTGATGGAATGAGAATGGGCCTGGGGCCTTGGGTCACACTCCTTCCTCTGAGATGCCAGCCACTCCAGCGAGCTCTGTAAAGGTGCCCCAGAGGATGGCTCTGCTCTCTGAAGAAGGATGAGTGTCTTTGTTCAGGTGACGATCTGTAAGGAGAGGCCCTTACCTCCCCCTCTGACCCTCAGTCATGTGTCTGCTCTGCCTGGACATCACTGTAGTATCAGCACCAGGAATGTCTTCTAAGCCTACATGTCCAGCAGCAACCTCATTATCATGAGGAATTTTTTCCCATGGACTTCTGTGTGATTTTCTTGAATTTTTGTGACTTTAAAAGATCAGGCCTCATGCCTTATATACCTTTCCTTGTATGTTGGAGGAGGAAGACTCGCAGCCCCTCTATCTCTGTGTCCAAGGCAGCTTCATGTAAGGTAGGGAAGGCATTTACACTGTTATAATTTACTAGGGAATGAGAGCCGCCTGCCCCGTCTTCATAACCTTAAGAATCAGAGTTTTCAAACTACAGGATTTCTCACTCTGAAGAAGACTTTTACTTCCAGATCTGTGGCTTGACTCTCCTGCTTAAAAACTTCTGTAGAGAAGTGGTTACTGTATACAGAATACTGGCACCCTTACAAATAGAATGAAACCACTGAACATAACAAAGGCCTTACATGAAACGCCCAGAGCCAACATCACACACCATGATGAAACACTGAAAGCCTTTCTTCTAAGATCAGGTAGAAGATAAACATCCCACTTTCACCACCCGTATTCAACACAGTACAGAAGTTCAAGCCAAAATAATAAGGAGGAAGAAACACAGAATACAATCAAATTGGAAAGGAATAAGTACAATTATGTCTGTTTGCAGACGACATGAAATTATATGTATAAATCCTTAAAGATTCCACTAAAAACTATTGAACTAAAAACAACTTCAACTAATTTGACGGTACAAAATCAACACAGAAAAATCACTCTGTTGCTATTCACTAAGAATGAAAGTACCCAAAAAGAAATTAAGAAAACAGTTCCATTTGCAATCACATTAAAAAGAACAAAATACTTAGGAAAAAAAGAATACTTAGGAATTAACTTAAGTAATGAGTCAATAGACCGTAAAGGGAAATCTATAAAACACTGCTGTAATAAATTACAGAGGACACAAATAAATGGAAAGACATCCCATGTTCATGGATGATGAGGCTTCATATTGTTAAGATGACAATGCCACTCAAAGAGATTGACAGATTCAATGTAATCTCTATCAATTTTTTTAAGGTTTTCATTTTTAAGTACTCTTTACACCTAAGGTGGGGCTCAACCCTACAACCCTGAGATCAAGAGTCACATGCTCCACCAACTGAGCCAGCCAGGTGCTTCCCTATCAAATTCTGGAGGAAATATTTTGCAGAAATAGGAATTTCCAAAAATTTACACGGAATCTCAGGGGCCTCAAATAGCCAAACTTATTTAGAAAAAGAACAAAGTTGGAGGACTCCTACTTCCTGGCTGCAAAACTACAGTAACCAAAATAATGGGGGTCTGGTACAAAGACAGACATAGAGACCAATGGAATAGACTAGGCATCCCGGAAACAAACCCTGTCATATGTGGTCCAATGACTTTCAAGAAGGTTGTCATGACTATTCAATGGAGAAAAAAATCTATTCATCCAAGGCGTTGGGAACACTGGATATCCATGCAAATGAATGAAGTTGGACCTGACCTTACACCATGTACAAAAATTAACTTAAAATAGATCAAACATCCAAAGAACAGAAACTGTAAAAGTCATAGAAGAAAATGTGGAACAAAAATTATTGAAAGTGGATTTCCCAATAATTTCTTTGCTATGACACCCAAAGTGAAGACAATTAAAGGCAAAAAAAGATGAACTGGATTGCATCAGAATGGAAAACTTCTGTGCATGAAAAGACACAATCTCGAGAGTGGTAGCATTGGTTATGGAACGAACAGGATATAGGGATGAAATGTACAGCATAGGAAATATATTCAATGGTATTTTAATGGGGCTGCATGGGGTCAGATGGGAGTTCTATTGGGTTGAGTAGAGCGTAATATATAGAGTTGTTCAATCGCTATCTTATACACCTGAAAATAATGTCACATTGTGTGTCAACTAAAGTTCACTAAAAAAAAAAAAAGTGAGGGCAACCCACAGATTGGAAGGAAACATTTGCAAATCATATCTGCAAATCATTACTATCCAGAATATATAAAGCACTTCTGCAATTCAATAACAAAAAGCAACCTGACCCTGAACACCCTTCTTTCTTCAGTATTTGCAAAACTCCCTTCTATGCATGGGGATTTTAGAGGCTGAGAACAGCCTCCCCCCCGCCTCCCCCCCCCCCCGCCGCATATTCCAGGCCGGACCCAAGGTATGCCATGATAAATCAGAGAGCAAGGGGAGGAAGCCTCTGCAGACATGTAGGGGGAGAGTTCAGGGACAGATTAGATTTGCTTGTGGGAAATAACTTCTTCTAGGCTCTTTGCTGAAAGCCAGACAGACCTTCACCACAGAGATCCATGCAGATGCTCCAGGGATCCACTTATCAGAGACTGTGATAGTCTTGACTGTGGTCTTATTGAGCCGAGTGCCAGAGTTATAGGCGAGGGGGGTATAGGATCCACCATCATTGGCAGTGATGTTGGGGATAAAGAGCTCCTGTGTGAGTGACTGGGGCCTCCCACTGATAAACCAAGAATACTGTGTGGGCGGGTTAGAGGTTGCGTGGCAGGAGAGACTGAGGTTGGCCCCTGGATGGTAAGAGGAGTCTGAGGGGGAAATGGTGGGGGCGTCCGGGCCATCTGGAGCAAACAGAATAAAGCCACAGGTGATGTAATCTGAGGGAAGGGGAGGTCTTGGTATGTATTAGGGCCACAGTGTCCCTCTGAGCTGGGTCCCAATCTTATTGGAGAAAATCCCAACCATGAGCCTCCTGTGTTCATGAGCCTGGGACTGAGACATTCATCTGTTTCCCATCATAGTCTGGTGACCCTCCCAGGTAGGAGCAGGTCATCCCCTCCTAGTCTTGGCTTAAGCTGAGTCTGCCCAGGTCTGCCTGGGACAAGAAGCCATGGCCAGCCTGGGGGTCCAGCTGAGAGTCATGGACTCGGACCCCAGAATGATGGATGTGGCCTGGCCCCCGGCATGTGGATTTGGGCTGGCAGCCCGGGCCAGGTAGGAAGGGAAGTTACTCACAGAGAACATTCAGTGTGAATGGGTCACTATGACCGGCACTCACTGGGTTCCGAGTTTCACACTCATAGGGTCCTGTGTCATTCCTTGTGACACCGTGTATAGTGAGAATCCTGTGGCGGGAGGCTCTCATTGTTTACTGACCACAGGTAGCTTATGTCTGAGTCCGAGGTCCACACGTTAGTACAACAGAATCCACATTCTCCATGGGGTCGGAGTTGTTGCTTGCAATGTTGGGTTTGGGTAACTCTGCTGTGCAGACAACAGAGAACACATTGCCCTGGGTAGTACCTGTGATTCCTCCACAAGCATCTTGAATCAGAGTTGGCACCTCTCACCTCTCAGCCAACCTGAGGCCTTCAAAGACTAAGCAGGTGTGTGTAGCTCAGGACAAATGCATGAGCATCTGAGCGCTAGGAGAAAGTAAAGCCCCTGCTGTGTGCTGACAGCAAGGCTGTCTCCAGAGTCAATTACGGAGCAGCATTTGGTCCTGGAAGACAGAGGACAGAGTCAGAGACAACCCCGGACCTCTCCTGGCTCTGCACTGACCTGCCAGCCCAGCCTAGGGATGGGGGTCTGAGCAGAAATGACACCCGGGGACAGCAGGAACAAGCCCGGAGGTCAGTCCAGTACTCAGGTCCCAGGGCCTGGACGGCAGCTCTGCCCAGCTGTTTGATAATGAGTGACATGAGGCAGTGACCCCATCCATGGCAGAGCCGAGTCCAGTGACCAAGCAGAGAGCGAGGGGATGAGCAGGAAGCAGGGGTGGTGAGGGAATGAATGATGCATCATCTCTTCAGAGAGGCATCCTGGGTGCAGGGTCCTAGCAGATCTGGCCACCAGGCTCCTTGCCCTCCAGCGGGAGAGACACCCGCACCGTTCACTCCTTCCCTCCTAACAAAAGCAACTGATTTGCTCCCAGTCAGCTCTGCTCAGGAGCCCTAACCCCATCCTGGCACAGACTCCCCAGGGTCACTAGAATCAGCAGCCCCAACACAGGGGTCTGGGCAGGGGCTTTCTGGGCTGAGTTCTGGTGGGGATCCCAGAGGCCCCTCAGGACTTGTCCTGCCTGGGGCACACAGAGTTCTAGATCCCTGAATCTGGATTCTGGGAAAGGAATTCTAATCTAATTAAGTTGTCCCCACTGTGTGTGTCCTGTACTAAATGCTCGAACCCCCCACAGGACATAATGCGGAAGGGAATGGAGGCCCAGTTCAGGCCTGTGAATCCTGTTGTGTGAAGTAGAATCCACCCCACCCAACACCAGAGGTGAGAGAGGAATTACTCACGGAATACGCGCAGCTGTCCTGTTCCTTCATCAACTTGAACATTTCTCTTTATGATTTGTATGGTGTAGTATCCTGTGTCCTTCAGGGTGATGTTCTGGAACAGCAGGGATCCATTGGGGTATATTGTCTCTCTGCCGCTGTGTGCAGGCCCTGGGGTAGTTACTTGTGTGTCTACTGCATATGATACAATTTGACTGCTGGGCTCTACAATTTCCCCTCGGAACCAGCCATAGCCTATAGGATCCCCAGGCAGATTGTGGACGAGCAGAAGAACATCCTTCCCTTCAGCAACATTGGATGGCACTGATTCCACAGTGACTTGGGCAGTGGTGGGCGGGTTCCAGAAGGTTAGGAGTGAGACTAGGAGGGAAGGGAGAAGACGGATCAGTGTTTGAACCTATGTGTTGGGAGGGAAAGCTGGGGTTCTGGAGAGAGAGCAGGTCCTAATCCCCCAGCCTCGGGGTGTGTATGTGAGTGTGTCTCCTGCTGGTCAAGGTCAGGGGCATGACCACACTACTTCAGGGCCTCTGAACTTACTTTCTCTGTTTCCAACCCTCTTCCTCACATGTCTGTCTTTCACTCCCTCCCTGCCCTCAGATACCTGCTCCCACTCAGAGGGTCCTGGGGAGAGGTCTGCCCTGAACGCCTCCTCTAAAGACCCTCTGTCTTCACGTTCTGACCTTTCCCTGCTCTGTTCCCTTCCTGGTGCTTCTCAGTACCTGACATCACATTCTAGACGTCTCTGCGTGTCTGTCTTCCTCCCCATCGAAGTGAGCTCGGGGAGGGCAGGGACTCGTCTGATCTGTGCTGTACCCCAGGGGTGGGGCAGGCTGCAAATACCCGGCGCTGAATGAACGTGTCCCCAGGGCTCTCCAAGTCTGGCATTTGTCTGTCATGATCTCAGGTGGGTGGGAAGGGGCAGCGATTAGGGTCCCTGGTTGTTGTGATCAGTTTTTAGAATTCAGTCCTCAGTGATGAGTAACTTGGGAAACAGCCCTTGGCTCCCCACTTCCAGATGATGAGATTTTCCTGTTGCTGAGCCGGCTCCCCCGTCCTGCCCTGCTCCCCTGTCCCCTCTCAGAGCCCTGTCCTCCCCGGGAGACCCCAGCCAGCCTCTCTCTCCCATCCTCGCGCCCCCTCGCAGGGGATCATCCCTCTCACCTGCCAGCAGGACCTCCTGCCAGGGGACGCGTCCTCCTCGGGGAGGGGCCGACGGGGGCTCCATGGTGCCTGCTGCCCGGTGCGTCCCTCCCTCTGGGGGAAGAGCTTCTGCTCCAGAAACGCTCAGGAGCACTGCCGTCCTGTCCTGTCAGCTCTGCCGTCCTTCCTCCCTCTGAGCTGAGCGGCCTCTGGGGGCAGGAGCGCCGGGCGGGGTCACGTGGGCCGGAGGTGGGTCCGCCTCTCCCTCTCCTGAGCCCACGGAGGGTCTGCAGATGCTGTGAAAATGCAGATTCTGACTCAGCAGGTGTGGTGTGGACCCCAGAGTCAGCCTCTAACAAGCTCCCAGGTGATGCTGATCGTCCTGGCCCGGGGAGCACACTCTGAATAGCCAGACAGAGGGGGATCCGGTTCCCTTAGAGGATGGCCCCTCTCCCTACTCCAAGTTAGTCTCTGCTATGTCCTGGCCTTGAGTCTGTGGGCACCACACACAGAGCCCCAGGGTCCCCAAATCCAGGGGATTATTTCCGTTTGTAACAGAGAATCCCAGCTGGGCACCGGTCTCCCCAGTGTTCTCTCCGCTCTGGGGAGGTTGGATTGACTCCTGGTAGTGAGGTCCCAGTGATGACGCTGGGGTGAGAAAGGAGCAGGCCAGGTGATGACTGGTGAGGGACGCACGGCCATCCTTGGGTGTCCCCAGCCCGGCCTCTGCTTCCAGGGACAGAGACCCAGGACCAGGTGTCTCAGGAGCTCAGTTCCCAGGTGGGAAGGGGGTTTCCTGTGTGTCCCAGGAAGAGAGGACATGGTGGGAGGTTGGGTGGCAGGGGCCCCCAGGAAGGTTTTGAGGAGACCCTTCCTCAGGGTCTGTGGCTGAACTGTGGCCCCGAGACTGTCCATGTGCCCTGAGCGTCCTGGGCAGCCTGTGTGTTCTGCCTGGGGGACTTTCTCGTGGTCACCCTGCCTCCCCCATGGGTGGAGCCCGGCAGGGAATGGGGAGCTGCACATGGACCCCTGACAGATCAGGGTGCTCCTAGGGCCCAAGAAGGAGCGGGCAGGACAGAACTGGCACGTGGGAGCGACCCAGAAGTGTCTGTTGGAGAAAGGGATGGAAACCAGGCTCCTTCTCCACGTCCTTAGCGGAAGCCCGCTTCAGGGTTTAACGTCCTGTGTGTTGTCTGCATGTCCCTATGTCGCCCCCTGGAGGCTATTCTCGGGGCTGCACCAGGGATGCTGACGAGGCTCCCAAGGATGTGAGTGGTTTCCCTCCTGCATTTAATGAGTATTTACTGGGCTTCGTGACGTGTCAGGCCCTGGGCTGGGTCGTGGGAGCTCCACCGAGAACAGGACAGATGTGGGTCCTGGACTCGTGGGGTTTCCCTTGGAACAGGGCCACGGGCAGTCAGGAAATCATGGCACTGAGGAGTCAATTAGAATCGAGAGAAGGGCCAGGAAGGGAAAGTGCCTGGTGCATCGGAGCATGTCAGGGGGGCTCAGCTGATGGGGGGTCCCATGGAGCACTCCTGGGAAAGTGACCTTTTGTCTGAGACCTGAAGCGTGAATAGACTTTCGCCCTCTAAGGACAGAGGTGTGGAGGGACGAGCTGCCCATAGAGGGACCAGTCTCAGCGGGCAGATGCCTGGTTGGCCGGAGGGGCTGACGGGGTCCAGTGTGGGGAGGCTGGAGAGCCAGGAGGACGGTGACTGGGTGAGGCTGGGGAGGGTCAGACCCTGCTGGGCTGTGGGTGCTGAGGAAGGCGCCCAGGTGTAGAGCAGCTCTGCCGTCCTCTGGTGGACTGTGCAGGAAATGCGGACGAAAAATTCCCTCTATCCAGTTTTTTTTTTTTAATTTGTACATTATAGACGTATAATTTTTAACCACTTTATTGAATTATAGTTGACCTATAAGAATTTCAACATATTGAAAGTATACAATTTAATATGTTTTGCCACGGGCATGCAGAGAAGTCATTCCTAGGTGAAGATACTGAATATGTCCCTTCTTCTCCAAAGTCTCCTCATGTCCTCTTTATTCTCTTCATTCCCACCCCTCTGACCCTCCTTCCCCATGTTCCCATGAAACCTTACATTAGCTTTTGCTGTTATAGATTAGTGTGCATTTTTTAGAATTTTGAAAATTTGAATCATACAATACGATTTGGGACCACAGTCAACATCTTTACTCAGCATGGTTTTCAAAAATAACTCATTGCTCCTTGTTATTGCAAATCTCCAGTTTTTTCCTTTTTTATCCCTTAGTTGTATGACATTGAAAGGATGCAGAAAGTTTTTTTTTTTAATTCACTCATTTATGGACATTTATGTTGTTTCCAACTCTGGGCGATTACAAGTATACCTGCCAGGAACTTTTGTGCAGGAGTCTTAGAAGCGGGCATATGCTTTCATTTCTCTGGGGTAGAGTTCCACCCGGGAGTGCAGTGAGGGGATCGCTGAGGAGGCACAGGTTTAGTTTTTTGAAGAACACGCTACACTGTTTTCCAAAGTAGTTGCAATTGTACATTCTCCCTAGCAATGTAGGAGCGTTCCACTTGTCCCCCCGCCCCCCATCCTCAACAACACTTAGTTTGGAAAGTGTTTTTAATATTTTAGCCCGTCTACTGTATGTGAAGTGGCATCTCAGTGTGGAGTTTTAGTTTTGACTGTGAAATCATTTTTCATTTTCTTTTATCGTTCTTTTACTTTATGAACAGCTCATATGAGATCTGTCCTCTGAATAGTGTTCCACTGTATGTATTTACAGCATTTTCCTCAATCATTAGTCTGTCGATGGACATTTAGGTTGTTTCCATATCTCGGCTACTGTGAATAGTGTTGCAATGAACACAGCTGTGCTAATATCTCCTCAAGATCTTGATTTCAGTTCTTCTGGAGAAATGCCCGGAAGTGGGATTGCTGGATCTTAGTGTAGTTGTATGTTTAATTTTTTGAGGAACCTCCATACTGTTTTCCGAATGGCCACGCCAGTTTGCATTCTCACCAACAGGGTGCAAAGGTTCCAATTTCTCAACATCCTCACCAACACTTGTCTTTTTTTCCCCCCCCAATAATAACCTTTGCAACCTGTGTGTGGTAATATCTCATGGTGGGTTAGATTTCCATTTCTCTTTTTACATATACCCAACTGCCATAGAAGAAATATCTACTCAAGACTTTAACCCATTTAAAATCAGGTTATTTGTTTGTTTGTGTCTTACTATCCAGCTGTAGGAGTTCCTTACATATGTGGGATATTAACCCCTTATCTGATACATGGTTTGAAAATATTCTCTCCCAGTTGGTAGGTTGCCTTTTCATTGTGCTGATGGTTTCCTTAGCTGGGCAGAAGCTTCCTAGTTTGATATAGTCCCACTTGTTGATTTTCATTTCTGTTGCATGTGCTTTTTGTTACCATATGCATGAAGTGATTGCCAAGACCAATGTCATCAAGCTTTCCCCCTATGTCTTCTTTGAGGAGTTTTATGGTTTGGGGTCTTATATTGAAGTCATTCATCCATTTTGAGTTGATTTTTGTGTATGTGTAAAGTAAATGTGCAATTTCATTCTTTTGCTATGTGGATATCCACTTTTCCCAACATCATTTGTTGAAGAGACTGTCTTTTCCCACTGCGTATTCTTAACACCCTTGTCAAAGATCCGATGACCATATATGCAGGAATTTATTGAGGGCTCTCTGTTCTGTTCCATTGTTCTGTCTTTCTGTCAATACTCTTACCTGACTGAGACTGGCTCCAAACTCACGTTTGGCTGCTCACACCTCAAAAATCAACCCATGAGGGACAAGTGATGGTAGGTGAAGAAAGGTTGCTTTAATCAGGAAGCCAGCATGCTGGGAAGACAGTGGACTAATGTTTCAAAGATCATGTTCCCGGTCCAGGGGGTTTGGGAGTGGAGGGTGCTTTAAAGGGGAAGGCATGAGAAAAAGGGAGGGCGGCTGTGTGCAGGAGAAGCAGGTGCCCAAGCAGCTGGTAGTATGTGGACATGACCCTGAACAGACTTGCTGGCACCCGGGGCAGCTATTTTCCAACATAGGCAGGCCTTATCTCCTGGGAAAGTTTGGTCCTTCACTCCTCGAGGCCAGTGGTCTGCAAATCCCAAGGAAAGTAGGTTCGTTCTGCTACAGATCATGGGACTTAAGTCAGCAAGCAAGGGGTGAACCCTTAAACCTGGTGGAGGGCTGTCACAATGCCGTACTGCTTTCATTACTGTGGTTTTGAAATGTAGTTTGAAATCGGGAAGAGTGATTCTTGCCCAAGTGATTCCAGCTTCGTTCTTCTTGCCCAAGATTTCTTTGGCTCTTTGACATATCTTGTGGTTCCACCCAAATTACAGAATTCCTTTTTCCCCTTCCCTGAAAAAGACCATTGGAATTTTGATGGGGATTGCATTGCACATATAGGTCATGTTGAATAGTACGGATATTTTAACAGTATTAATTCTTCCAACCCATGGACAGGGGATATCTTTTCATTTATTGGTGTGGGCTTCAGTTTCTTTCCTCAATATCTCATGGTCCTAGCCTAAAGATCTTTCCCCTCCTTGATGACATTTAGTCCAATTATTTTGTTTCTTTCTCTTTCTTTCTTTTTTTCAGAGAAGACTGAATTCTTTTACTTAGCTGTAAACAAGTTAGTTGCAACATAATTTCTTTTCCCTGTGGAGAGCTCCCGATAGGTTCTTAAACAGTAGGAAAACATTTGCTGTTCAATTTCATTGAGAACCTTCCACAGAAACCATCCCAACAGAGTGAGAGTATCACAATGTTTCAGTCCCACTCTAAGTGTACTATTTTAAAGTACACTTGAAAGTTTAAATGTGTACAAATTCAGAGGTGTAAGAAACTTCAATAGATACAGAGTTTAGGAAGGTGAAGGCTGTGAATGTCTCTTTTCGTTCAATGCATCCTTTTTTTTTTTTTAAAGATTTTATTTATTTATTTGACAGAGAGAGACACAGCTAGAGAGGGAACACAAGCTGAGGGAGTGGGAGAGGGAGAAGCAGGCTTCCCTCCGAGCAGGGAGCCCGATGCGGGGCTTGATCCCAGGACCCTGGGATCCTGACCTGAGCCGAAGGTGCTTAATGACTGAGCCACCCAGCACCCCTCAATGCATCCTTTATATTGCACTCTTCACACATAAGCGGCTGTTCCTGCTATTTCCTGGGCCACAAAA